GCATGATGTTTGATCTGCCTTTACCTTGGAAATAACCTTGTGGACAATACCAGAGGGGGGGAATACATAAAGGAAATGGCCATGTCATCGCCATTGGAAGCAATCCCAACGAACCTATGCCCTTGGCTGCCCTGGAGCAGAAGAGGTGGCATTCTGTGCTGTCTGCTGAAGTGAATAGGTCTAACTCAGGTACCCCCCATTCTTTAAAATCAGGAGCCAGAGAGTGGCCTATGATGAACCACTCTTGCTCTGTGTTTACATCTTTGCTCATGCTGTCTGCTAGAGTGCTGCCTAGACTGCTATGTGAACAGCTGTCAACTGCACCCCGTGTCTTATCACCCATTGCTAAATGAGTGTGGACTCTGCACAGGTGCAGGGATCCCGTGCCTCCCAGTTTGTTTAGGTAGAGCTTTGCTGTGACATTGTCCACTGCTACCAGAATGTGTCTTCCTCTGGCGATCTCTGCAAAAGCAGCGAGAGCAGGTTTGATGGCTCTCAGCTCTAACAGACTGATGCGAAGGGTGGACTCCCTTTTTGTCCATGTACCCTTCACCATTAATCCCTGACAACGTGTACCCCACCCTGAGGAATGCGTCAGTGAAAAGGTGAATTTCATGGAATTGGACCCCTAGCATAATGTCCTTGAGAAGGTTCCCTGATATGGACCACTAGATGAGAGACCTTATAATGGATCTTGGGACCAATAATCTTTTCCATTGGGGATAGGAATTCAGCTCAAAGTTCCTTATGAACCAATTCTGTAGTGATCTCATGTGTAAGTATGCATATGGGACCACTGCTGTAGTCAAGGCCATGTAGCCCAGAAGTCTTTGAATGGACTTGGCTGACTGATACCTGTTAGACAATAACTTTCTTATGAGGACCAACATAGTTTCACCCTTGCAAGGGGCAAATATGCCTTCCCTTCTAAGGCATTTAAGGATACCCTCTCGAGGAGGGACCACATTCGGCCTGTGCTGAAAGCGCTGCACTGGCTGCCGACAGCGTACCGGATTCGCATCAAAGTGCTGGTTTTGACCTTTAAAGCCCTTAATGGCCAGGGTCCAGCCTACCTGAGGGACTGCCTTTCTCCATATGTTCCCCCAAGGGCACTTCAGTCGGGAGGGCAACATCTCCTGGAAATTCCAGGCCCGAGAGAAGTTAAACTTGCTGTAACCAGGACTAGGGCATTCTCGGTGGCGGCTCCTACCTGGTGGAAGGAGCTCCCGGAAGAGATCCGGGCCCTGCAGGACCTTTCTCAGTTCCGCAGGGCCTGCAAAACGGAGCTCCTCCGCCAGGCCTTAAAGTAGGAGCCGCCGCCACCAGTATTCCACCTGTACCCCTTATGTCCTGGTGCACTAACATCTGACTGCCTGCCCCCCAAGGGTGGAGCGAGGCGCTGGACACGGCTCTGAGGATAAGATCATATGACGCAGCTATGTGAGGTTAAGACCTCCTCGTCTTGTTTAAATTTGCTGTAATAGTGATGATATTTTATTGTAACTTATTGTAATTTATTGCTTTTAAACGATATGTTATTGTTTTAACCCGGCACACTGTGCCCTTGTTAGCCGCCCTGAGCCTGCGGGGTAGGGCGGGATATAAATGTAAATATAAATAAATAAAATAAAATACCCTGATTAATTCAATAGATTGGACAAGAGTTAGGCAGGACTTCTTCCAGTTCACCAGGAACCCCAGGGACTGAATGGTGCCTATGATGAGGTTCAGTCTTGCAGCCAGTTTATCTGGGAAGTCATCTACAAAGAGCCAATAGTCCAGGTAAGGGTACACCGTACAACCTCTAACCTTAAGTGAGTTATGACCTCTGCCACAGATTTAGTAAACACTCGAGGTGCTGTTGCTAGATGAAAGGGAAACAGTGTGTCCTCGTAAGTAGACCCCACGTAACAAAATCTTAAAATATTTTCTACAGGTTTTGTGTACTGAAATATGGAAATTCTCATCCTTTACATCTAAGCTAGCAAATCAGACATTCGGACCCATGACGCTGACAGCCATGGACCTAGCTGATAGCTGGATGGTGTCCAAGGAGGAGTCTGCTGTGAAGGCTGTGGCCAAGGCAGTCTTCTGGGTACGCCTTGCTTATAGGGTGTTGATGAATTATGGGTTATGCCCAAAGATTTGGTTGTCAACTTATTCTTCCTAATGCAGTCCAAAACTGCATCGGTTTGGTTGCTAAAGAGGTCTCGACCTTCAAAAGGGACGTCTTCTATTTTAAGTCTTGTATCCTGCAGGAGGGCTGACGAGCGCAGCCATGAGTATCTCCTTATGACAACACCAGAGGCCATGGATCTACTATGGTGGTATGCCCCATGCCTGGCCATATTCAGTTACTGCTTTTGGCCTTCTGCAATAAGGACCTTCACCACACTCTGCTTATCAACAGGTAGCATCTCCAAAAACTGTAACATCTTTTCCCACAGTAACATTTGGTAGTGGCCTATGACCACCACCCTTAGTCCCATTGCCCCTGATGAGCAGATCTTTCTTCCCAGCAAGTCCAATCTTCTGCCTTCCTTATCTAGAGGAGATGAATGACTGTTTGCTCTTCCTTTGGATGGAAGGACTTCTGACATTATGGAGTTCACTTCTGGGTGGGAAAATAAGTAATCACAGCCCTCTTCCCAGGTTCTGTAGAAGTTCTCCAGCTTCTTAGGTGATGCTGGGTTGGAGGCTGGCTTGGCCCAGATGGCCATGGCTATATCTTGTATCCTTTGAAGCATCGGAACAGTTACAGGATCTGAGTCAGGGTTATATAACACCTTCATTACAGGATTGGATGGTTGGGGTTCCGCAGTATGGAATTCCAACCCCATTGTTTTTGCCATTTGGACCAGCTGTTCTGAGTACATGTAAGGTCCTCTGTGGGAGAAGGAGCCAATGGGTCAGCAAACGTGTCATCTGGGAAGGGTATCGAAGCGCTCTCTGAACCTGCTTCCAAAACTGGGTAGAGTGCATCCTCGGAGTCAGATCCCTGATGGGGCGGGGGGGGGGTCGCTCCCTCAGAGTGGTCTTGCTCCTGGTGACCTCCTCTGCATCTGGAAGAAGGGTTCTGAGGTTGCTATGGGTATGGACCCTGGGTGGTTGCCCAGGATCCCCCACTGTGGTGGCATCATGAATGGGAATGCCTGAAAAGGCACTGCTGGGGGAAAGGGGGAATCCTCACGTACATGGGTCAGGGACACTGCAGTGAACAGGAGAATCAGGAGAGATTCCCCTTCTACCTTTTGCCAGAAGAATGGTGGTATAACACAACTCACTATGTACAAAGACATAATATCCTGTTATCTATAATATATAAAAGGCAAGTTGTGCTGGTGATGACTCACCTACTCTCCCACTGGCCCATGGGGAAGCTGCCTTTGCATACTATTGGCCCATTCCACCGGCTCCTCCATTCTTACACCCCCACTTTTGACGCATTGCACCTTGGGAGCTATGCTATGGCTTACTGCAACCATAGCATAGGGAATTAGAACTACAACTCACAAGTTGAGAGTCTCAAGAGGCCATGGGGCATTAGCAGGGAGTCAGCTGAAGTGTTAATATCAGTTAAACTGTTAAACAGGGGTTCGGGGAAGGGAAGGCTTGCCTCCCTCTATTCTCCCCTTTTCTCCACCGTCTCACCAGCCACAGCTGGGACACTCACCTGGAGCCTCTTTCTAGAGCTTATTGTATTTCTTCCAACAATGGGCCTTACTCCTAGTTTACAATAACAGTCCTCAAAGTTCATACTGTATGACCCAAGTCTAGGCACAAACTACAGTGATATGAAATGGTCATTAGTGCAGAAAGTCACAGGAAACAAGTAGAACTGTAGATGGCAGGCCATCCTGACAATTAAAAAATAAAAAAGCTAGGACCCATGAAGAACTTACGGTGGGGTAGATGTGCCACAGTCTCCTTATGGTGACTGCCTCTGCCGCTTCACTGCCCTCTCCCCCATGCAGGGGAAGGAAGGAGAAAGCAGCAGCTGTGGCAGTGCTGCTGCCTCCTTTTCCTCCTGGACCTTCTGCTTCATCACCCCATGTTGCTGTTCCCTGCAGAGGCACCATCACCCCTCCAATCACTTCTTGTCCAACCTCTTTGCCCCTGACAGCTCTTGTTCCATAGCCACTAGCAGCTGCCTTCGCCCCCGTTCGCCATCACTAGTGTTTATTAGGATTGCTATATATCCCCCAATATGGCAGTCAAAGTGTCACAATGCTACTTTACGGTCTCTTTTCCTCTTTGCTGCCTGTGCAAGTGCAGACAATGCTGGGGGGGGGGGGGCTAGAAAGTCCCTCCTGTCTGTTTTTGGCTCCACTTGGCAAGTTTTCTGATCCACAGTCCAGGGGCCAGGTTTACCATTAGATATAATGTATGGACAAAAGAAATCACTTTCATCAAATCAACTAGGACTATCCGTTGTTAACCGTGGTTTTTATAATGTGTACAATTTTTTACAACAGTACAATGAAAGTCAAAGAGGACAGCTGACTAACTGAAATCCTGATATTTTTCCATTTTTTTAGTTACAAAACCCAAAATACAGTGCTATCAGCTATTCAAAGCCAAAAGAGATTTAAAAATTCCTAGCATGTATTGAAATAAGAATGCTTGCAAAATGAAAACACTGAAGCTCAACTGTGTATGACAGACACAAAAATATGCAATTGTGGACAGAGAGCATCAGCTAGGTTACTGGTTTTGCCCCTTCAAAAATTATATTTATACCACTAAGACTTGTTCTTAGGACAATACAGATCCAAGTCAACGGATGGCTAGATTACATATGCCATAAAGGGATAAATACCTAGGTATGTGTTACCAATTCCTATGTCTTTTAATATAGCACTGCTGTTAAAGATCAGCATATACCAATTTTGGCCATTAATATGATGGTAATTATTTCTTGACCCTTGTGCAAACAGACCTGAAAAGTATTTTTAAGACGTCCTGAGTAATGTATGAACAGTCTATATTATATAACTTACCTGCAATAGTATGTGCATAAAGTCTGCTACCAAAGGTGAACACATGTAATTCATACAGCTTAGCAATCTTTTCTAGAAACTCCTTGGAATGAGGACGCAACCGAGTATGCAGCATAGGTTCTCCTCGTCCTAACTGGAAGTGAAATATTCCCTAAGACAGAGGAAAGTGTTTCTGTAAGGCTTACAGAATTGACATGCAATCAGAAATACTCACTCGTTTGTACAACAGCTTACATAGAATGTATTCCAACACAACAAATTTTCAACCATATACTGATACTGTTAAGTGTATTGAAAGGTAACTATTTGCATATAGAATTACAAATGCACACCATATATTTCGCAGGATTTGTGTAACCCTGCTGTTTGATATTTATTTTAAACTCCATTAGTATCATATCATTTGTATCATAACATAACTCAAAATAGTGACTATCATTAAGTTTTACCTGTTTCACAACTAACAAGATAAATTTAGTGAAGACTATTTAAACATATATCTTGCTTAAATATATTTCTTTAAAATATTTATATAAAATATTTCTTCAAAATATTTATACGCCTGGCTTTCTCCCAGGCATCCCAGGACCTGAGGCTAAGGACCTAAGCTATGTCAACGTGCTGTTAACAGGAAAGATCGATATAATTACAAATAAAACAAATTGTGGCTGTGATGCAGAGGCCTGCATGCTGGGGATAACTAATTGTCCCTTCTCATCATATCCAACACTGTTGTGGAGGAAATCTAAGAAAAGGATCCTGGAGAGCTCTGGTGCTCAAGTAGATGCTCTACCACAGAACTAGAGTCTTTGTTATTCTGAAAGACCATGGTAGCTTACAGCACAAAACCTGGTGAGGCTGAGGGGCAACCTACAAGTCCATGAATAAATATACCAATGGCTTTTTAATGGTAAATGTAAACGGTATTTGGAGGGAGGAAATGGATTACAGGTGTGGTGCAGAAAAGGGCAAGTTAAGCTTGCCTGCACCATTCTCCTGAACCTTAAGAGTGTGTGCGCACGCACATACACACAAGAACATAAGAGAAGTCATGTTGGATCAGGCCAATGGCCTATCCAGTCCAACACTCTGTGTCACACAGTTGCCAAAAACCAGGTGCCATCAGGAGGTCCACCAGTTTGGTCAGAACCCCAGAAGCCATCTCACTAATGCCCCCCCAAAGTACCAAGAATATACAGCATCACTATCCCGTACATAGTATTCCATTTATACCTTGTGGCTAATAGCTACTCATGGACCTCTTCAATTTTTTTTTTTTAGTTTTACTCTTTTTTTAGTGAAATGACAACCAGCATTACAAGTCAAGTATAACAGAGATGGAACAATCACTGTCAGAATCATCCCTAACCTAACAAACAGAAAGTTGCTTAAATGTTATCAACCTGGCCAAGCTACTTATTTATTCAAATATTTATATCCCACTTTCCTGTGGCTCCAGGCAGCTTAGAAATCATTCTGAAAATCTTATTAGGGGTGTGGGAAAAAAAATAATCGATTCCTCCCCCCCGGTTCCATTATAGCCTATGGGGACCATTATACTAAATGGGCTCTATAATGGAGACTCAATCTGGGGATAGCGGGGGCTCAGGGGACGGGCTGTTTTTTGAGGTAGAGGCACCAAATTTGCAGCATAGTTGCTGGTTCCTCTCCTCCACCTCCCCTTCAAGTTTCAAAAAGATTGGAACAGGGGGTCCAATTTTATGGGCCCCAGAAGGAAGTGCCCCCATCCTCCATTTTTTTCAATGGAGAAGAAAATATCTTCAGTCCACTTGTGAGCTAATGCAAAAATTCCCTGAGCTACAAACTGAAATTTTGTGTGCCAGCACCCCCTAACACAGCTTAGAGGGAAATTTAGATGTAACCTTATGTGGGGATTTGAACCAGAGTCTTCCTGACTTATATTCAACAGTCTTAACAATTACACAGCTCTGATCATTATTGGTTATCAATTGTTTCTGGGCACAATTCAAACCCTAAATAGCCTGGGACTACTGTACCTGAATCAGCAGCTTCTCCTATACAAACGTGATCAAACATAAGATATTCGAAGACCTGGTTCTGCGTACTCCCCCTCTTAATTCTGTGGTTAGGCAAGTGGTTGTCAGGGATACGAATTTTCTCTACTGGTCTGTCTGAAATCTAAAGGATGACTTAAGCATCAAGTAAATACAATTCATCTAACATAGATAGGGCAGGCTAGCCCAATGTTGTCAGATCTTGGAAGCTAAGCAGCGTTGGCCCTAGTTGGTACTTGGAAAGGAAACCATCATGGAATACCAGGGGTGCTAAGCACAGACAGGCAATGGCAAACCACCTCTGAACATGTCTTGCAGGGTCACCATAAGTCAAGTGCCACTTGATGGAAAAAACCCACAATTTGGCCCAATTTTTAAAAACATGCAATAATGAAGTGTTTATTATATATTGCTGTTAATCTTGGTGATTTGATGCTACATAAGTTTATACTTCATTTTACTATTTTTTAATATTTTGTAATCAGGCTTGAATCAAAAGGCATGGTATGAATATTGTAACTAAAAATAAAATAGAATATATAAATAAATAAAATCGTATTTGATTCGTGTATTTGCTATTTTAAACAATTCCAAGCTCATTAAAATCTGATCCAAGAATCATTTTAAAAACCCAATAACATTGCTTTACTTTGTTAGACATCTGTTGGCAGTGCTGCTCTGTGGTATGAATTAATGTCTGGTCCAAGTCCACCATTAGCACTAGTTTTCGATTTCGGCGCAGTCGATTTTGGTCTTCTCTTCCTAACTGTTCTGCTTGCTACAATAAAGAGACTAACATGTTAAATGTGCTTGGTGAAAACCTAAAATTTAAAAAAAGTATGAAAAACATGAGAAACATGCACAATCACTTCAGGTGAAACAAATGCGACCATCACCATCCAATATACCATAATTATGTTTTAGACAACTTCTTCCAGCAATATTTGAGGAACTCCAGAGATACTCTAGGGAAGACTGGAGTTGTATTTTAGAATTCCCACACTTGGAATTTTATACACATCATAGTCACAACATTAGCATATCTAATCTGTGTAAATTCTAGAAGGTGCTTTATTTCTGTCTTATATGGCTGATACAACATACAAATGGAAAGTAAAACGTCTTTCCCTATGACCATTCTGCATCTACTGAAGATGCAATTTTCAAAGGGAAAGGGTAGAACAGAGTGCTATATGCCTTTGCCTATGTGTTTCCATCTATACTAACAACATACAGGCTGGTTATCCTAGCTTAATGACTTTGCAATTCTAATTTTCCCTCATTTTTTACTCAAACTGCAGGTCTGCCACAGAAATAAAACAATATCTCTCTCAACTGATGCCACCAATACAGTAAATAAAGTGGCTTTAAATGCTGGATCCCAGTTCTACTTTTGTTCTGCTATAATTAAATTTAAGAATTTATATACTGTCCTATTTAGCCTATCAACAATAATATTTTAAAAAGCCAACTGAACCAGATAACATTGTTACACGATTTTATTTCAGCTGACATCTATTTGGAAGAAAATAGGAAGCAGTTTTAGGTAAAAAACTTGTAATTTAACAAATCTCATCATGCAACAAATGTTGAGTCCACAGCTACCCACCTGAATCAAATCTCATCATAAACATACATGGGTTGGAAAAATATGCATTTAAAGTAGCTATATACTTGAAACCTATGTTTCAATATGTGCGCATACTGATGTGATTCCTCTAATTAAATCTGCTGAATGCTCAAAATGGGAGAAAGAGTGGATGCATACTGATGTGATTCCTGAATGCTCAAAATGGGAGAAAGAGTGGGAGAGTACTTGCCTCAGAACTAACCATCAGTTCTGGGACGCTATGAACCATTGATACAGTTGCCGTGGATACTGGTGTATTCTGTTTTCCATTCTTGCTTTGTAGTCTAATAATAGAGGAAGTATAAGAGAAGACATTAGACACATTCCAGTAGTAACGCTCCCAGTATGTTAACACAGAAAATAAATTTATTGTGCAGGAAACTTCACATGGAATTACCTTACTTATTACACATACACAAAGACAACCAAGGCTGGGGTACCCAAACAATAAATGCACAGGCATAAAATTTTTCAAAACTAAGAAATGAACAATTGCACAGCTTCGGTCTTAAAACTAATTCACTTCTGAATATTTGCCAAGAAGACAGCCAAAATTACATCTGAAAATGCACGCACAGCACCACCAATTGTGAACGGAGCCTGCATGTTTGAATATCCCAGACCTTCATAATAAATGTGGGAAGCTGCAAAGTTTCAAATTCTGTCCTTACTGTAATAAAATCTACCCATTTAAATTAGTATGCATCATTACTACATACAGTACCATGCTTGTACTTTGCCAGACTTGGAAACTTTTCATACCACAATTGAAACAGCAAGTACAACATCAACCAAGTGGGTTCAATGGATTATACTAATGACATGAAAAGGAACTTCAGATTTAACATGAAAGCTCCTTCTATTTGAGGTAGAGGAGGACATCCAATCCCTGGAGGCAGGATATTAGATATCCCCCCCCTCCCTGAGGAGAAAAGTACCTCCTCCTCCTCCTCTTTTTTTTAAATGTCAAAACTTTTATTTGGATATATCAACACATTCAACATTACATTACATTTCTTTTATCACATATCCGTTTCTCTTATCCCCTCCTCCCCTTTTGTGGCTTCCCGCAATGCTCCTCCCCCTTTCCCATTTATATTTCTATTTTTCCTTTCCCGTTATCATCTTAAATTTCAAGGTAACAATATCTTAATCTAAACATTCCAAACCGTTATGTTTCTGCCCTTAATAATTATCAAAACAAAGTAAATTATGTTTTACATCCCAGTTTTTTCCAGATATTCTTTAAAGTTTTTCCATTTTTCCAAAAAATTCTTGATCTTCTCTGTTATTAAGTTTCTTCGTTAATTTGTCCATTTCAGCCATGAATAACACTTTCTGAATCCATTCCCATTTTTCTGGTATTCTATCCTGCTTCCAAGATTGTGCATAAGTCATTCTGGCAGTACTAATCAGGTACCACAACAGTGTCTTTTTTGTTACATTAAGTACCTCCTTCTTCAGTTCAGAGGCTTCCAGAGCTTTCCATAGAAAACCACAAAGTGTGCCATCATTTCTTGCTGCCAACAGGATTTAACCTGAAGATTAAGCAACAATAGGACAGGGCCAGAGGTCCAACCCCATTTCAGAGAAGGAACAACATTCAAAAGTAAACAGTAACAGTGGGGAAAAGTTTAAGATAATTGAAACAAAAGGACTATTATCCACAAAGAAGATTCCCCTATATCTGGGTGGGACTAGGAGGTACTCCTCTACCTCAAATAAAAGGAACCTTCATGGTAAGTCCAAAGTGCTTTTCTCATTTGGGGAGAGGAGGACATTCTGACATCTGGGATATTACAAAGCTTTCCCCCAGATGGGAAGGCAGCCCTGTATCTCAATTCTGTCACATCACCTGTTGAAGCAATAGTTGCCCAAAGGCTGCATCAACTGCTGCATATGTGTCCATTTTGTAATGGCGCATGAAGGCAGACACAGCTGCCCTGGTGGCTGTTCTACAGATCCCCCAAACTGATGCATTGGATTGAAAGGTGGCTGTGTTGGCTGCACTCCTGATTGAGTGGGCTGTGATTCCTTCTGGAGCTTTAAGCCCTTGAGAAGAGTAGACCAAAATAATGCACTCTTTCAGCCACCTACTGAGAGATGCTTTCTGCCCTTGTCTACTGGATGGTAAGCTACAAACAGAGCATCTTATCTCCTGACAGAAGCTGTATCTGGATGTAAATACAGAAGGCTCTTCACACATCCAAGGTTTGCCAATTTATCTCCTTAGGGTGCAATGGCTTGGAACAGAAGGACAAGAGGTACACCTCCTGAGCAGTGTTCCCTATAAGCTGAGTTAGTGTGAGCTAGCTCACAGGTTTTTAGCCACCAGCTCACAGATTTTTGTCTAAACTCAGGACGGATGGCTCCAGAGCAAGCTAATTTATGCAGTAGACAGATCGCTCACTACAATTTTAATGCCAGTAGCTCACAAAGAGGAAATTTTGCTCACAAGACTCCACAGCTTAGAGGGAACATTGCTCCTGAGACCTGTGAAACACAGAATTCACCTTTGGGATGAACAAAGGATCCAAACATAGAACCACCACATCCTTCTGGGAAATGCCAAAGCCTTTAGCTATAGACAGAGCTCCCAATTCTGAGGTGAGTCTGGCAGAGGTGATGGCTCTAAGAAACAGCACCTTAAGAGTGAGGAACCAGTGTGATACCTCTCACAGTGACTCAAATTGAGGTTTTGTAAGAGCTTGGAGAAAGATATTAAGTCTCCAAGAAGGAAAACGGAGAACTATTGGCAGGTTGAAAAGCTCTGCTCTTCTGAGGAAATGTTTGATGTCTGGGTGGCATGAGCGAGGACTGCCTTCAACTGAAGGCAGAATTGAGGCCAGAGCCACTGCCTATCTATGGAGCATGTTAGCTCTACGGCCCTGGGTCAAGTCCATCCTGTTGGAAGGAAAGCATGGTGGGGACTTCTATCTCTATCGGCGTCTTACGATACCTTCAGCATCACCTGATGAAAGCCTTCCAGGTGCAGCCATAGGTCCTTTCTGTTGACGGTCATCTGCTTGCCAGCATAGTCTTCATTACCTGCTCAGAGAACCCTAGATCTAGCAGTCCTTGCTACTTAATCTCCAAATGGTCAACAGCAACCATGCATGTAGAGTATCAGGACCTGGGAAAGATTGTCTGGAAGGACTGTTAGCATCCAGGGAGGCTGGACTGACAATGTGATCAGATCTGAGAAACAAGATCTCCTTTGCCAATGTGGAGCCAGGAAAATCACTTCTGTTCTCTCCCACTTGAATTTGTTCAAAGATCTGGAGATCACTGAGATTGGAGGGAAGGCATACAGTAGGCCGGCCGGCCACCTGGAGAGGAAGGCATCCATCTTTTTCACTTGTGGACAGTTGCAACAGGAAAAGAAGCAGGTGGTCTTTGTGATGCGGGGAGAGGCGAAGTGATCAACACTGGGCTGACTGAACCAATGAGTCACTTGTTTGAATAGGGCCTGGGACAGGGACCACTCCCCTTAGTCAAAGTGTGTCCGGCTGAGCCAATCAGCTTGGATACTGGAGATGCCTTTGATGTACTCTGCTCAGAGAGACGTTAGGAGCCTTTCTGACCACTTCATTATCAAGGCCACTTCCTCCTGAAGCTTCCAGGATTGTGTGCCTCCCTGGCAACTGACATGGGCCTCAGCCATTGTGTTTTCTGTTTGGACGCAGACAAGAAGGCACTGAGATGTCTTCAGGAAGAATTTTACTGCAGGAAAATCACCCTGCGTTCCAGGAAACTGATGCACATGGTCTGTTCTGATACTGACCATGCTTCCCAGCCCAAAAAGCTTGCATCTGTGGCGATCAGTAGGTCCATCCCTGGATGGATCTCTTTGCTTTTGATCAGCTGTGAAGAGACCGTCCACCAACAAAGGGATTCCTTAACTATGAATCAACTCTCAGTCTCCAGTGGTGCTCGAGGACAATTGACTGTTGGTGAGGAAGTAAGAACCACTGAAGGTCCCTGGACTGTGCTTGACTCCATGGGACTGTGGCAATGGCTGCAATCATGGAACACAGGAGCTGGGTCAGAAACATTAGGTCCGCTGACCTTGAGGCAATGACAAGAATTGCAGCACTCTTTAGCTTTGCCACTTTTTCTGGTGGAAAAGCTTCTTGTGGACTGAATCCACAATTGCTCCTAAGTGAGTCACCACCACCTGTGACTGAGTCACCTACAATTGCTCCTGAGTCACCACCACCTGTGACTGAGTCACCACCAGTTGTGACAGGGTTAACTGACTCTTTTCAATGCTGATGAGGAAGCTGTGTGACAACAAATGCTGGATAGTTGCTGCACACCCTGGGACAACTTCTCCGCTGAGGGAGACTTGAAGGTCATCCAAGCAGGGATGCACATGGATAACCCAGGATCTGAGGCTTAATACAAGGGAAACCATCACCTTTGTGAATACCCTTGAGGCTGAATACCCTTGAGGCCGTACGGGTAGGGCGGGATATAAATCCCAAAATAAATAAATAAAATAAACTGAAGCGAAAGGGAAGTACTTCTGTGTGGGGAAAAAATGGGGACATGTAGGTAGGCCTCTCTGAAGTCTATGGATGTCATAAAGCCCCCTGCTGTAATCACATCCATGATTTACTTCAACGTCTCCATTTTGTTTTGTATACAATGAATTTGCTGGAACAAGGAGACTGTAAGAAGTGTTCATGTGCGGGGGGGGGGGAGGCAAGCTTGATTGCATAACCTTGCCTGATTGTGTGTTGCACCCAGGCTTTGGACACTGGTGCAGTCCATTTCTGCCAGAAGAGTTGAAGTCTGCCCCCGACTGGTGGAGGCCTGGTGTCAGGAGCGCTGTAGGCGAGGTTCGCTGCCTCCATTGGCTGAGTTTTGGCCCTGGGTGGCTGAGAGTTGGACCTGAAGGATTTGGCTTGGACCATGGTCTGTACAGAATCCAAGAAGAATCCTGAAGCTGCAAAAGGACTGGAAGTAAAACCCCTTCTGATGACTATCCTCTTTCTTCGAGAAAAAGGACATAGCCTTCTTTTTTGAGAGGCAGTTTGATGTAGCACTTAAGAGTGTGGACTCTAATCTGGGAGAACCAGGTTTGATTCCCCATGCCTCCACATGCACCTGCTGGGTGACCTTGGGCAAGCCACAGTTCTCTCAGAGTTGTTCTCTCAAGAGCAGTTCTCTTGTTCTCTCAGCCCCACCTACCTCACAAGGTGTCTGTTGTGGAGAGGGGAAGGGAAAAGAGATTGTAAGCCACTCTGAGACTCTGAGTGAAGAGCAGGGTATAAATCCAAACTCTTATTCTTCTTTATCCCTGGTCTATTATCCAGGGTATCACCAAACAGTGTACCCCCTAGGAAAGGCCATGAGGCTACATTAACATTGGAAGTAGCATCCACAGTCCAATTCTTCAGTCATGACTTCCTCCTTGCCACCACAGCCTTCAAGGAACATTTCATAGAATCAAAACTGGCATTAGCCATGAAGGCTGCAGCACTCTCTGGTTTAGCGATGTAGCCAGTGAGCTTCCTTGATAAATTGGGAGTCTCCTTCAGGAATTGTGAAGCCACATGATAGAGGCTCTAGCCATGAGGGAGGTGGCAGCTGAAGCTCTAATGGCATAGGCTATCACTTCATGAGCTCTGTGTAAGGGTCCCTCACTTTTTTAGTCCATTCCTTGGACTAAAGGACTAAAGTAAATGGAAAGGTAGAATGCAAGGTTTGAGGCATACTGAACACCTCTGTGGCCCCATCCTCATCGTCTTCATTGGGTTCTGGATCCCCTTGGGGGGAAGTTGCAGAATCTTTATGGTTAGAGTACAGTAATGGTGGCAACTCTTCACGAGAAAACAGTCTGTGAGCCTGAGGAGCCTGCTGAGGAGGGTCTTCAACTGATAGTTCCCCTTCCACTCAGTCTGAGTCAGACTCCCACTGTTCTGAATCAAGGTTATAAATCACCTTCCTCAGATTGGGAGGACATTGGGGACGAAGCCCAGAAGGAGGGCGGGCAGCTTTTTAATGCCGTTTTAGTAGGCCAAGAGGATTTTATGGTGATCCAAGTCTGGCCCATAAGAAATTCCCTGGCTTCCTGGGTAGTCTAGCTGATGGGGTGGGAGGACACACAAAGAGCCATGTGTCTTTCTGCCCTGAGACTGCTCTCTTTTGTTGTTGCTATTCAGTCGCACAGTCGAGTCCGACTCTTCGCGACCCCATGGACCACATCATGCCAGGCCCTCCTGTCTTCCGTCGTGCTCTGGATTTGCTTAATTTCATGTTCATTGCATCAATAACACTGTCTAACCATCTCATCCTTTGCTGTCCCCTTCTTCTTTTTCCTTCAATCTTTCCCAGCATCAGGGTCTTCTCCAGTGAGTGCTCCCTTCTCATTTGGTGGCCAAAGTATTTGAGCTTCAGCATCTGGCCTTCCAGGGAACAGTCAGGGTTGATTTCTTTTAGGATTCACTGATTTGATCTCCTTGCAGTCCAAGGGACTCTCAAGAGTCTTCTCCTGCACCATAATTCAAAGGCATCTATTCTTCGGCACTCAGCCTTTCTTATAGTCCAACTCTCGCAGCCATACATTACTACTGGGAATACCATTGCTTTGACCATATGAAGTTTTGTTGGCAGGGTGATGTCTCTATGTTTTATTATGCTGTCTAGGTTTGCCATCGCTTTCCTCCCAAGGAGCAGGCGTCTTTTAATTTCATGGCTGCAGTCACTGTCTGCAGTGATCTTGGATCCCAGAAACGTGAAGTCTGTCACTGCTTCCACGACTTCCCCTTCTATTTGCCAAGGAGTGATGGGCCAGATGCCATGATTTTAGTTTCACCCTCAGTAAGAGGCCCTTTAGGTCCTCTTCACTTTCTGCCATTAGAGTGGCATCGTCTGCATATCTGAGGTTGGCTCACTTCTGACCATCTCATTATTGGATGAGTTGGCCAGTCACTCCTGAAAGAAGTTGTTGGTCATCCATTCCTGAAAATCCACTGAGGCAACAAAGGCATCTCCATCTCCTCCTGAGGGGCCCAAGGAAGCAGGATTGACCTGCTCACTCACCACCTCTTGATCAGTTTCTGTTTGTGCTGCAGGGGAAGCAGTTAATGCAGGCCCCTGAGGGCTGAAGGGTACAGGGAAGCAGGACTGACCTGCACACTCACCTCCTCTTGATCAGTTTGTGCTTGTGCTGCAGGGGAAGTGGCAGCCAATGCAGGCCGCTGACTGCTGAGAGGCCCGGGGAAGCAAGGGAACCCTCAGGGCTTAACAGAGATATCAGGTTTTTAACTCACTACACACACTAAGTCACTCAGTTCTCACTTATAAACAGAATCAAACTTTGTTGGTCTTAATGGTACCACTGAACTCAAATTTAGTTCGGCTTCAGACCAACATGGCTACCCCACCTGAATCTAACCTCTTGATCAGTTTGTGTTTGTGCTGTAGGGGAAGTTGCAGCTAATGCAGGCTGCTGGCAGCTGCTGCAAGAAGGCACAGGTTTTTTGGTGCCAAGAACCTCCTTGCAGTCAGCTAAACTGCTTTGTTTCCGCTTGACAGTTTTTTGTTTGCTCTCTTGTTTCCTTGCGAGTGGCAAGTGTACACCTCCACTTTTGCTCCTGCAAATCTCTGTTGTCCAGCATGGTGATGACCTCTAAGGCACCTGCTAATGTACCTGCTGTTTCAAATTCAGGTTACTGAGATGCAAACAACATAGGGGGTTATTAGTGGTGACTAGTCACTCCCAGCAAAACAGAGGTTAAGGTGGGAGGACAAACAAGGAGGGTTTTCCCCCTTCTCTCCCCCAACGAAGGCAATTGAGAAGAACTCAAGGACAGGCACATGAGGAAAGAAAAGATGACATAAACAGGAAGTCTGCAGCAGAAAAGATGCCAAAAGGCAACTGGAGCTCCTCTGAGTCTTGCACATGCAAAGGAGGCAAGAAAAGAACTGGAGAATGAAGTACTCCTCTCCCCAGGGGCAGGAAGAAAATAACCTAATATGCTGCCTCCAGGGATTGTGGGAGAAAGAGTACCCAAATATCAAGATGTCTTCTCCTGAAATGAGAAGATGGTCTCCCCTAAAACCAGCTATTAGAACCTAATAGCCATACAGACTGTTCTCCATATATTAAGCTCAAAACTAAGTTCTTACTGATATGGTTCACAGCTTTATTCATAACACTGACTGTTCCATCAGAGCACATTTTATATTTTTGTCTCTCTTTGTTGGTACTTATCTCATCAACATGGTATACCCAGTATACCTGAACTTCTATTTATCAGAATTTTTGTCTTCTACATGCAACTCACGACACATATCAAATAACTTCTGCCTATCCTCAAACTGTTGTATATATTTGTTTTACAATATGTTCTGTCCTTACTTCTTACATTCTACCATAAATTACTGTTAATATTTTTCTTCCATTACATTTTATACTGCTCTTCCTCTGAAGATGCCCTCCCTCACTTCCCCTTTTGGTCTTCTCAACAAGACTGTGAGACAGATTAGGCTGGGAGAGACAAACTCAGGGCCACCTCATGAGTATCATCTATGTATGGATTTGGACTGGGGTCCTCCATTCCTAGTCTGACAGTAACCACTATGCCAGACTGGTTCTGCTAACAGGGAAGAGCATAATTCCAATGGACCTAAGTGGTTAAAATTCAAATTTAACTATGCTTCCAATTCTCAGTTTTACCCAAGTGCAACCAACAGAAACTTAACCCCTTACAGTGATACTTACTGTGTTAAATCCTGTCCACATTCTGCACATAATCCTTTCATAACAACAGGATGGCTGCATCCTTCCAACCTCAACAGAGTGCCTCTGAAAATAGAATTAATGGCTGCTTTATGACAACATTAAGTATAATACATAAAAATGCATGCCACTGACATAGCATGGACAAGCTACAACATACCCACATCTCCAACTACTACATAGTTTGGATCCTGCCAACTTTTGCACTCTCTCACTTAATTCTGCTCCTTACTATAGCCTCAACTAAAACCTAACACCCACAAAGATGTTCTCAGCATCAAGCTCAGAACTCAGTCTAATATGAATTTTGTCCGTGCAGGTCCACCACCCCCTATAGAGGAAAGCCTGAACACCAGGTTGTGACATCATCAAAGGTAGTCATAACAGTCCCTGAACTCTGCAGTTGTCAGCTACTTTCACAAGTGTTTTAACTTGCAGTTTCTTGTGTACTCAACAAGATATTCTCTTGAACCTTTCACTGCAGTATTCCAGATTCTTCACACTAGCTTACAGCGTTTCCCTTGCATATTTGAGTGTATGCTTCGTATAATTTACAAGCATATAATAGGGGAAAGTGGTGGATGTCTGTTGTATGATGGTATTGTGGGTAGGTTAGATTCTGCTCCCTTCTCCAAGCAGGGAACAGAGTATTGTCAAATAATACTAAGAGTTTAATAACTTTTGATTTTCAGTATTACTTTTTATCTACCATTGACACAGCATGAGATCTTAATATGTACAAACTCATACTTAGGTAAGACGTTTTCACATACAGTAAACTTCAATTATAATCTCCAGTTACCAAAAAAGCAGCATTCTCTCTCAGGTTAACCTGAGAGAGAATGCTGCTTTTTTATATGTGTGTGTGTGTATGTGTGTGTGTGTGTGTGTGTGTGTGTGATATACAGTATATAAATTACTTACAAAATGTACAGCATGCATACACATGTTGTAAATAAATGTATAAAACAGAAAACTGCTCCCCCCCCCAGCCTCCACAAACGTTCAAGTGAACCAACAAATGGGGGGGAGACCCTGATGTTTGCAGCATCTCTCTTTTGCAAAGATTGGGGGAGGGGGGAAGGGAGGGGAAAGGGAAGTGTTGGGGAATCGACCCACCTCTTTCTTCCGTGAAATTAAAGACGGCCACTGTGTAAAAAAAAAACAAAAACTAAACAACCCCCAACAACCCCAGAAAGCCCTTGGTTGCTCAGGAAGCAGGGGAAACATTCCCGCTCGCTTGGCTCCATCCCATCCCATCCCACTCCAGTCAGATTAACTTTTCCCCCTCCCTCCAATCTCTTCCTTCCGAGAAAATAAAGACGGCCACTGTGAAAACAAACAAACAAACCCCAAAACCAACTCCAGAAAGCCTCCCTCGTTTTTGCAACGAGAAAACCAGCCCGGGAGAAAGAGACCAACGTCGTCTTCTCCTGCTCGAGTCAGCCACACAGGGAATGTTATGCCTACCCAGGTTGCCATTACAGTGACGTCACGACCTGGTGTTCAGGCTATCCTCTATAGGGGGTGGTGGCAGGTCCCATGTTTCCCTTTTGGTGGTCAAAGTGGACCCACTCCTCCCTTCTTCACTACAGAAAATCCTACCTGGATCCTACCCTATATTCTTTATTGTATTGTAGTATTGGCATTGGATACTAGGGCGTTCCTGGCAGGTGCTACCAGAAGCCAATCGTCTATGTATCGGTAGATGGAGATACCCCTGAGACAGAGGAAGGCTGCAACCACAATCATAGTTTTTGTGAAGACTCTTGGGGCGCTGGATAGGCCGAATGGAAGGGCCGTATATTGATAGTGCTGTTGACCAATCGCAAAGCATAGGTATTGGCGGTGGAAGGGATGGATAGTGGTGTGGAAATACGTGTCTTGGAGGTCGAGGGTGGCCATCCAGACGTGTCTCCGAACCAATGGTATGATCTGTTGTAGGGAGACCATGAGGAAGTGGTGGTAGGATTCAGTTCCCTGAGGTCTAAGATGGGTCGAATGCCTTCGTCTCTCTTCGGGACTGTGAAGTACCAGGAATAAAACCCCGTCCCTTGGAGGTGTGTTGGTACCTGTTCGATGGCTCCCTTTTGCAGAAGGACTGACACCTCCTTGAGAAGAGGTGGGGAAGGGGGCGTGGATACGACGACCGGAGTATTGGGGTTCTGTTCGAACTGAATCTTGTAGCCCTGGGACAAGATGGACAGCACCCACTCGTCTGAGGTGATGTGACGCCAATTTTGAAGGAAGGGTGACAGACGGGTTTGAGCTGACTCGATCACTGGGAAGTCAAAAACCCTGCTTGGAGGGTTTGGACTGTTTGGTGCGGGAAGCTTGTTGCCCGGAGCCGAGTTTTGGCTCCTGGAAGGCAGGTTTTTGGCCTCCCGAGGACGTTCTTGGTCTCCACCGTGTGTCTGGAGACTGATGAGTTGGAGTATGTCTCTGCCAGGAACTCGAACAGGTGCGAGGACGATATTGTTGCCTTGCAGAGGACATACTGTTAGATATACTGAAATTGCTCTGAGGGAGAACTTTAGTTTCTCAGTCAGGAGAGCTACAGAACAGCCTTATACAAAGGATACTGAGGAAGGATTTGGCAGAAGGTCTGGGTAGTTTGAGAGAACTCCCATACAAGCCAAATAATAAAAGGAGTTATTGCTTCTTAGGGACAAGGAGAATAACTGTCTGCCAGTGAAAGGGGTTGGGAACAGAACCCTGGTTTGTGATAAGCTTAGACACCGCAGAAAACCTGTAATATCTGAAGAAATCTAGAAACATCAACAAGAACTGTGTTGTGCTGAAATATACTAAACAAAGTACCTCTCAAAGAAAGAAATAGAAAGCCTTGAAACAAAACTACAAATACACTTTCTTGAATGCTCTAAGAATTCAACTCAGTATATATTAGTTTTTTACCTCAGCGATCTCAAAACCTTGACTATTCCATTTATACACATATTCCTTGCCTGTTTAATAAAAGCTTTATTCTGTTTTTGTAACTTAATTTGCCTCAAGTGCCATTTCTCAAGGGTTTTTAAAAACTGGACAGCTCCTGTATTTTCAGTAGAGTTCCTGAGCTGAGAAAAAAGCCTAAACTAAATATCTAAACACAGGGTGGTCAAGTCTTCTATGACAAAGAATATATACATGCTACGGTATGACAACTCAGTCTCTGAGGGGAACTGAAGATTTGGCAGGAAAAATCTGCCAGACAGTTGGGGAGATACAGGGGTGCATCATAGTAACCTATCACTAAATTCAGCTGCTGTACTAGAAGACTGGAGAGCAGCTGATATGAGACCAATTTTTAAAAAGGAATCCAGAAGGGAACCAGGAAATTACAGGCCAGTTAGCCTAACATCTGTCCCAGGATAATTAATAGAAACTGTCATAAAAGACAGAATTGCTAGGTACATAGAGGGACAAAGCATGCTGAGGGAAAATCAGCATGGCTTCTGCAAATGGAAATCCAGCTTCACCAACCTTTTGGAGTTCTCTGAGAAAGTGAAAAAGCATGTAGACAACAGTGACCCGGTAGATATTATATTCTTGGACTTTCAAAGGGCTTTTGACAAGGTACCTTATCAAAGGTTCCTAAATAACTCAGCAGTCATGGGATAAGAGAACAGGTTCTCTTATGGATTAAAAACTGGTTAAATGACAGGAAGCAAAGAGTAGGAATCAGTGGACAGTTCTCACAATGTAGGGAAGTAAGCAGTGGGGTCTCAAAAGGATCAATACTGGGGCCGGTACTAGGGGAGGGTAGTATAGTAGCCAAGTTTGCAGATGACACCAAATAATGGCTCACATGCGTTGTTGCTCAAAGACAGTGGATGGGTGGGAATCCACCAAAAACAGATCAAGGATATAACCTCGCTCAATCTTAATTTTAATTTTAAACCCGAAATCTTTTTACTAAACCGCTGGGATACCGACATAGATGTTAGAAATAAGGAAACAATTTCTTTGCTCCTTGCATCGGCACGCCTGACAATAGCGTCATGTTGGAAATCTCCATTGCCTCCATCGTTATCCGCTTGGCACGAAAAAGTGTGGGAACAATTTGTGATGACTAAAGTTACAGATAAAGTACATAGAGCACAAACCGCTCAGTCCTCCAATTCCAAATTTGAAACAATCTGGTTTCCAATATTCTCGTACACACGATATACTACCGGAAAACTCGTACTACCATAAATGGTTACTATTGTGAAGCATTAGTATAAAAGTTTGTTGGAAAAGACAATATTTGTTTTCCTTTCCCATTTAATTATGTAGATCTAAGGGTCCTAGGTATTGTACTATATTGTGGAAGATCTCTCCATGGAAATTTTAAGGCTCTCAACAATTCTGACTTAGTTTTCGAACGTTATGGAAATGCTCTTCTACGTTAATGTATTTTGGTTAATGACATTTGATTTGAAAAAATAAACAAAATTTTAAAAAAAGAAGAAGAAATCCCAGCTTCAAGTATAGGCTAATGGGGTCTGAACTTGCTGAGACTGAGAGGGAAAAAGATCTTGGGGTCATAGCAAATACCTCAATGAGACAGACAACCCTGTGTGCTGCAGCAGTAAAAAAAAAGGCAAACTCTATGTTAGGACTTATTAGGATGGACAAAAGAAAATACTACTTTACACAGAGAGTGATTAAAATGTGGAATTCGCTGCCAGAGGATGTAGTGATGGCCAAAGGAATAAACAACTTTAAAAGGTGATTAGATAGATTCATGGAGGATAAGTCTATCAATGACTACTAGCTATGGTGACTGAGGGGAGGCTCCACATTCAGAGGCACTAAGCCTCTGACTCCCAGAGCCAAGAGGCAACATCAGGGGAAGGCCTCAGCCTCTATCCCTGTTTGTAGGCTGTCCAGAGGAACTGTCTGGCCACAGTATGAGACAGGATGCAGGACTAGATGGACCACTGGTTTGATCCAGCAGGCCTCTTCTTATGTTCAAAACAGAGATCTGAAAATCCTGGCAACAGGCCCACAAGAATAGAGGCTTTCAGTATCGATACTCAGAGATGAAAAGGAAATCTCAAAACAATGGAC